GTGGAGGGAACATGATAGAGAGATCATGTTCCTTCTACCCACAAATAGCAGATGGGAGCATGATAAAGATGTTCCTCTCAGCCCACGTATAGTCTGGAAGGAACATAAAGTTGTTAAAAGATGTTCCCTCTATTCCACAGATAGAGTAAAGGGAACATAAATAGATGATCCCTTCAGTCCATATATAGTATGAAGGGAACATGATAAAGAAGTGTTCTGTTCAGCCCATATGTAGCATCGAGGGAACGACGTAGAGTGTGAAAGAATCATAAAGGGATGTTAAAAGATGTTCCCTCTAGCCTACATATAGTGTTAAGAGAGCAAAAAGTGATGTTCCTTTTAGCCCACATATAGTGTGGGAGGGACATAAAAAGATAATCTTTCTAGCCCAAATATATGGGGAACAAATAAAAATATGTTCCTTCCAGCCTACTTATAGTGTGAAGGGAACATAATATATAGAGGCTTATGATCCGAGATGTTCCTTTCAGCCTACTTATAGTGCGAATGGAACATTCCTCATGAAGTGATGTTCCTTCCAGCCTACTTATAGTGTGAAGGGAACATCTCTCATGAAGTGATGTTCCTTCCAGCCCATGTATAATATGAAGGGAACATTCCTCATGAGGAGATGTTCCTTCCAGCCCACGTATAGTGTGAAGGGAACATTTTTTATGAAGAGATGTTCCTTCCAGCCTACGTTTAGAGTGAATGGAACATATATAGAGGCTTATGATCCTAAGGAGGATTAAAATTCTGCGTAAAGTTCAAAAAACAATCTAACTTAAAATCGGCCTATTTATAAGGCATTTTTTCAATCTATCATCATTTAGGTTCACCCTAATTAAATTAAGTTTCAAAATTAGAGGAAATGCGCGACCAAATTCTTGACAAAATTAGAAAGACAGCGAGAGAATTGAAGATTTTTTCAATTTATTTTAAGAAAAGAGACGATATTCTTTGAAGAATTCCGAAGTTCACTCTGCGGGGAGTAGATAAAAAACAAAAAAATGGAATTTGGAGGAAAAGAATTTTTATTTGACAAAAAGGAAATGGAGAGGAAAATGTGATCGGTCAATTAGAAAAAATTTTTAGAAAGATATTTTTTAATTTAAAAAAATTAAAATTTATGTTCCGTTCAGCCCACATGCGGTGTGAAGGGAACATAGAGGTTTAAGAACCCTGCATTACATATTTTCGACTACAATTGTGTAGAAGGTTCTAGAGGTGGTAGAGGTGGCCTCTAGGTCTAGAGGTGGCTCTAAGTCCTCTAGAAGGTCCGAGAGATGGTTTGTATACATCATAATAGCCTTATGTCCTTTCAGCCTACATGTAGTGAGAAGGGAACATAAGAAGAAAAGTTCACTCCAACTATCTTGACTTTTAATGTTTTTTGGGGTTTCTAAATTTTCTTGTTAACAGCCAGAGGTGCCGGAAAACGGAAAGTATCGGAACTCGGAACAAACTTGGTGTGCTGAAGAGAACAAATTAAAAAATCTTTCGGAAAGTAGGTCTCAGAGTTCCGATCATCCTTTGGTATATTGGATCAGCCACAATTATTGGAACAATCCTTTAGCTTATTTGAATAGATCATAGCTTGGAATAGGGGAAAACTTGTAGATGGTCATTTATAAGGGTATAGAAAAAACTGGGGGTACTTAAAAATTAAATTTCCCCTGAGGGCAAATAAAATTTTATAAAAAAGAAAAAAAAATAAAAATTTTAATTTAATTTTTAGCGAATTTCTCGAATTTAAGGAATTTATTTAGAAATAAAAATTAAAGAGACGAAAAAAATTTAATTTTTGATTAATATTAATTTATTCGAGACTACATAAATTTTGGGGGGAATTTAATAAATTATAAATTTTTTTAAAAAAATTCAACAAAAAATTCCAAAAATTAATTTAACCAATAACTACAAGGAATAAATTAATTTTAAAAATAAAATTAAAAATATTTCCCTAATTTATTAAAAAGATAAAAATGAAAAAAAATATCCGCGCGTGTTTCTCCACAGAAAAATGTTCTCCTTATTCTCGGGGTAGGGTTGTTTTGGCGCAGAGGCGTTTTGGCGCGCGACTCAAAATCGACACTTAGGGGAAACCTAAATTTATGAAAATTTTCTCAAATTTACTTAACATCATTGACTACCTCCTCCAAAAATTTCAGAATTTTTTATCAAATATTTTTGAAGTTATTGTCGATAAGCCTCGAAAGATTAGGCATTTTTCTGAAAAAATCAAAATTTTAGGCCATAATTTCTGAAATTTTAGCACAAAAATTCTGAAAATTTTGGAGGTCTTAAATAAATATGTGAGGGTTATTATTGCAAAATTTTATCTTTCTGGATTATCAATTACTATTTTATAGGCTCGCGCCTACACGGCCCAACGCCATATACAGGAGAGAGAGACTTGTCTCTCTTTTCCTTAAAATAGTCAATTGCAAAGCTAGAAGGATATAATCTTGCAGAAATATCTCTCATATGTTTATCTAGGTTCTCCAAAATTTTCAGAATTTTTGAGCTAAAATTCGAAAAATTATGGCCAAAAATGTTGATTTTTTCAGAAAAATGCATGATTTTTCGAGGTTTATCGACTATAACTTCAAAAATATTTGAAGAAAAATTCTGAAATTTTTGGAGAAGGTAGTCAAGGATGTTTACTAAATGTGTGAAAATTTTCAAGAATTTAGGTTTTGTCTAAGTGTCAATTCTGAGCCTCGCGCGAAAACGGCCTCGCGCCAAAACGACCCTACCCCCTCTTATTTTTTCCTGTTCGCCAATAATAAATCCAAAAAATTTTTTTTCTAATATAAAAAATTTTAGATAAAAAAAAGAAAGGAAATGGAATGTGTGGAATTATTTAATAATTAATTTGTAAGGAGATTTGGAGCAAATCGGGAATTTTTTAAATAAAAAATAAAGGATTGAATTTAATGCTTAATTAAATATCTTTAATGGGATAAAATATTTAATATTTTTGGTATTTAAAAATTTTTTTGGATCTAATGCAAGCTAAGGATTAATGTTTTGATCTTTTGATCCCGTTGTATATAGCTGGCATTTTAAAATGGACATTTTTTATTTTGGACATTTTGTAATTGGACATTTTGTAACCTTAACTAATGTATTTTAAGGTCCACTCTCTGAGATCTAGGATAAAGCGGAGACTCGTTATAGGGAGATTGACGTGTTGATTTACTCGGGTCCGTAAAGTTACTAACACTTATAGAATAGGACGGGAGGGGTCCCGTACAGGATTCTAAAAGCTCCTGCTTCGGAATTACGGCTTTTAAGCAAAAAATGGGGTTATCTGCATTCACAGATTAATCCCGCTGGATCCTGTCATTCATTTTAGCTCTTATAAAACAAATTAAAGCCCGGTGCCGGACCGGATCCAGCCGGATTTTTCCAGAGTCTGTGTACTAAGTCGGGGTTTTCGCGATCTCCGAATTTTCTCCGGACCGGATTAATCCGGAAAATCTCGGGTTGTATGTGAAAACGGGATTATTAGGATTCTGAAATTAATCACGCGGGATCAGCTCGTTTGATTTTTTGAAACCCAATCTGAAATCTGAGGGACGGGATTTTTTAAAATTTGAATTTTAAAAGTTAACTAGGATTTTTAAATAAAAAATGACCAGAAAAATATTTTTTAAAAATAAATTAGCCATTAAAAAATGCTAAAAGATTAAAGTCATTGAATTTGAAGCAGAAAACAAAGGGAAGAAGGGAAGAAGAAAGCTTTAAATTAAAATAAAAAAGAGAAAATGTGTCTGAAGAGTGGACGCCTATTATAATGTAAAAATATGTTTTTAAAAATATTTTTTAAGAGAAAATTTTTTTTGTGTTTTTAACGATTTTCTCTGCGCGGACATGTTTATTTAAAAAAATAAGAAAAATCGCCACATTTTATTTTTAGAAAAAAAAGAAAGGGAAAAGACAAGTCTCTCTCTTGTATTTGCGCTGGGTCGTCTAGGCGCAGGGTTGTTTAGGCGCAAAGCCATAGCTTGCTTCAAAATGCCCGAATCTTACCAAATTTGGTATTAAACGATTCCTCTCAATGAGCTGAAGAGATTGGTACCAAACTTGTTAAGGTCCAGAAATTTTCCAGCTAGTTATGGCTTTGCGCCGTTATGGGTGCGCGCCTACTTGGGCGTGTCCCCTCTCCTGTACTTGGCGCTGGGTCGATTAGGCGTAAGCTCATAAAACAGCGAATTATTTATCTAGAAAGATAAAATTTTGCAGAAATAACTCTCGTATCCTTATCTAAGTTCCCCAAAAATTTCAGAATTTTTGAGCCAGAATTTCAGAAATTATGTCCAAAAATGTGGATTTTTTCGGAAAAATGCCTAATTTTTCGTGGGTTATCGATCATAACTTCAAAAATATTTGATAAAAAATTCTGAAATTTCTGGAGGGGGTAGTCAATGATGTTAACTCAATTTGAGAAAATTTTCATGAATTTTAGGTTCGTCTAAGTGTCAATTTTGAGTCTTGCGCCAAAACGGCCCCGCGCCAAAACGACTTCAAATCTCTCTCTCTCATGTACTTTGCTAATTTTCTCTCCTTTTTATGCTCTAAAAACCATCAAAAATAAATATACTTAAATATACTACAAGTGTTATTTTGTCCAAAATCCTCTTCCCCTCCTTCCCCATAAAAGATTTTTTCTCAAAATTGAAGTTAAAATAAATTTCTTAAGAGTAAGGAGCGTTGCTTGAGTACATCGCCATCTTATTTTTGCGCAGGTGAAAAGAAGGGAAAATTTAAAAAAAAAATTTTGCAAAGTAAAAAGATCGAGGATTAAAGAAAAATTAGGGGAAAATAGGGGGAGAATAGGGGGAAAATTGTGTAAGAGGTGTGAAAAAATTGGGGGAAATAAAAAATATTTTTAGAAAATGAAAAAAATAATATTAAGTAAAAATAAATAATATTCAAAATTAAAAAAAATTTTTTTATTAAAAAAAAATTTTTAAAATTAAAAATCCGCCTACTTTTCTTTGCATATGAGCAACACGTCGTCAAACAGAAACATCTGCAAAAAGGGGGAACTAGGGCTATGCAAATATTACTTAATATTAATTAATTAATTTAATTTTCCGGAAGTATTTTAATTATTATTTGTTATTTCCGGAAAGAAAAAAAATAAAATCAGAATTATGAATCAGAGTATTTAAGAAACATGTTTAAAATCAGAATTCTGATCGGAATTTTTCTAGCAGAATTTTTCAGAAATCAGAAATTTATCAGAATAAAAATTCTGATTTTGTTTTTCAGAATAAATTTTCAGAATAAAAGTTCAGAATTCTGATATCATTATAAATTCTGATCTCAAAATCCTGACAAATCAGAATTTTTTCAGAATAATATTTTTCAGAATAAGATAATTCTGAAATCAGAATTGTGATAAAATCAGCATAATTTTCAGAACAAAAATTCTGATTTTGTTTTTCAGAATTAATTTCAGAATTCTGATCTCAAAATTCTGATAAATTCAGAATAATTCTCAGAATATAATTTTTCAGAATTATTTTCAGAACAAAATTTTCAGAATTCTGATATTTTTAAAAATTATTTTAATGATTAATAGACCCTTCTTCCCCCTCTCTCTCGTGTAAAACCCCACAAAATTAACTATAAAATTGAAGGGTGTATTATTGGAGAGGGTGTATTATTAGAGAGACCACCCTCCTAGCCAAAAAATATTTTTTTATTTTAAAAAATTTATTTTCCAATCCCTACATATCGATTGTGCTGCGACAATGTTTGTATTGAAGTAAGCTGGCAATAACCCTCTTTTAAATAGCGCTGGCGCATTGCAGGACGTGGAGTTGGAGGACAGCTGCGGCTAAATTTAATTGTTAATAAAATAAAAATCAGAATTTAAAAAAAGTTGGGGAATAAAAACCAGAATATTATTATTAAAATTCTGATTTTCTGTTCTGATTTTTTTGAAAATTCTGAAGAAATCAGAAGCAAAGTCAGAATTTTGAGAATTAAAAATTTCAGAATTTTTTCAGAAATTCTGATTTTTGGATAAATTTTCAGAATTAAAATTTTCAGAACAAAAAATCAGAATTAACAGAAATCAGAATTTTTTGAGAAAATCAGAATTTTAAAAACTAAATAAATCAGAATTAAAATAATTCTGATTTTCTGATTTCTAAATTCTGATTTTCTGTTATAATTTATTTGGTTTTGTAAATTCTGAAAAAAATCAGAAACAATCAGAATTAATAAAAATCAGAATTTTTTCAGAAATTCTGATTTTCAAATAAATTTTCACAATTAAAATTTTCAGAACAAAAAATCAGAATATTTAGGAAAATCAGAATTTTGATTTCAGAAAAATTCTAAAAATTCTGATTTTTTAAACATACAACCTAACAGCAGCAGAGCAACCAAAACCTGCAGATGAGCTAGATAATGGAGACGATGATCTGATAAAATTATTTCCATTATTATCAAGCATTGGTTGTTGGTTGGACGTTAATATTCTTAAAAAGATTTTTTTAAATTAAAAATAAATTTAAATTTCTGATTTTCCAAAAAAATTCTGATTTTTAAAGTATTCTGATTTTCTAAAACTCTTATTTTCTGAAAAATTCTGATTTGCTAAAATTCTGATTTTCTGATGAATTTTGATTTCAGTAATATTCTGATTTTCTAAAAAATTCTGATTTTCTGAAAAATTCTGATTTTCTGAAAAATTCTGATTTTCTAAAAAATTCTGATTTTCTGACAAATTCTGATTTTTTGAAAATTCTGATTTTATAAAAGTTCAGATTTTCTGACAAATTCTGATTTTTTGAAAATTCTGATTTTATAAAAGTTCAGATTTTCTGACAAATTCTGATTTTCCGAAAAATTCTGATTTATTTTGTAAATCAGAATTATTCTGATTCCATTCTGATTTTTATTTCTATCTCAAATTTACTTAATTTCCTCGTCATCCTCCTCCCCGCCAGGCATAATTAATTCTTTATTATTTTGCTTTTCTTGTCCAATCAGTAAATTATGTGGGCGAGGCTGGTGTTGGTCAATAAAATTTTTTCGGCTCAGCTCTTCACTTTGAGTTCCAGCTATTCCTCGAGCTCCTCTCCTTCTCATTCTGACTGTGCGAAACCATTGTTCAGCTAAAGATTGTCTTCGACCTGAAGTTATTTCAACAGGGAGTTGTTGTTGAGTTTCTTCACCTTCTTGTTGTTGATCATTGGAACTCTATAAATTTGAAAATTCTGATATTTTTTAAAAATAATTCTGATTCTAATTCCCAAAAATCTGATTTATTTATTTACAAATTCTGATTTTAAATTTAGAAATTCTGATTTTTGTTTAAAATTCTGATTTTTGTTTAAAATTCTGATTTTTGTTTAAAATTCTGATTTTTGTTTAAAATTCTGATTTTTGTTTAAAATTCTGATTTTTGTTTAAAATTCTGATTTTTGTTTAAAATTCTGATTTTTATTTTTATAAATTCTGATGTTTTCCATAAATTCTGATTTATTTATTTACAAATTCAGATGTTTGTTTTAAAATTCTGATTTTTATCTAAAGCAGAATTAATCAGAAATTCTGTATTAATCAGAATTAACCAAAAATTAATCAGAAAATGAAATCAGAAATTCTGATTTGTATTTTTTAATTCTGATTTTTAATTTTCATTAATTCTGATTTTTGTTTTTAAAAATTCTGGTATTTAATTTTTCATAAATTCTGATTTATACACTTAAATATACTGTACATTCTCGAGGTCATACTTTGACACATAACTTTTTTAATTCTTAACCAATTTAAATAATTATTATATCAATCGAAAGCTATGGATGTGTGGATCATTTTAGCTAACAGGATTAATTTAATCAGACCATCTTACAAAAAGTTACGTTTGAATAAATGCGATCAGATCGCATTTCTATCAAAGCTCTTGACCCTAACTTTTCTAGAAAGTCGTCAAAATTTTGAAGGTAAACAAAAATCTGAAAAAGTCAGCGAACAGACCTGAAGCCCTCCTTCCGAATACAACCGCTAATGAGAGGAAAACAATGATTCCATTTTCATTGTATGTATTTATGATGAACCTCAATAGGCATCTAATCCCCGAAGGGTACCTTAGGCTTTCTCTAAGATATTCTCTCTTCAATGCAGGAAACGGCGGCCAGATAATTCGCATTGGGCTAACGCTCAATTTATGTTCTTATATACTAAGAGGGAGAAGAGTTCTCCAAATATTCTATGAGTAGTAGTGAAAGGGAAGGGAAGCCAATGTTATCCCCACACTCTCTCTCAAGTCTCCCCTTAAGGTTCTAGTTCTCCTTTCACTGCTTCCCTCTACTCTACACTTAGCAGGAATAGAGAGAAAGAGAGATAGTGTGTAATAATTCCTTCCATTCTCTTTCTTTAACTGTTAATCATCGAATATTTTTAACCATCTTATTCTACTTAATATATAAAATTCAAATTGGACAGCCCCTTATAGCGAATCACCTGGCCGCCGTTTCCTGCTTTTAAGAGAGAATATCTTAGAGACATACTGGGATATTTTAATTGCCGTTGGTGGCATACACCCGATCGTGGGTATGACTAAAACAATTATGTACAATGACGATTGACATTAATTGTTTCCTCTTATTAGCGGTTGATTCGGAAGGAGGGCTTCAGGTGCCGTGTTCGCTATCTTTTTCCTTATGGTGGTATTTTTTGGTTCCCGGAGCCATCAAAGTTTCGACGACCGTCTAGAAAAGTTGAAACCGTTTTAAGAGATCCTTCTCACCTTCCTTCTCACTCTACTCTACCTTGAGTCAATAGGCAATAATATACGGAGAGAAACTTGAGAGAGTGTGGGGATAACATTGTCTTCCCTTCCCTTTCACTACTACTCATCGAATATTTGTAGGACTCTTCTCCCTCTTAGTATATAAGAACATAAATTGAGTATTTGCCCAATGCGAATTATCTGGCCGCCGTTTCCCGCCTTCGAAGAGAGAATATCTTGAGAAACCCTAAGGTATTTAAACGCCGTTCGGGGCGTAGACACCTATCGAGGTGCATAAGAAAGACAATTACAAACAATGAAATGGCTCGCATTGTTTTCCTCTCATTAGCGGTTGTATTCGGAAGGAGGGCTTCAGGTCTTTGTTCGCTAACTTTTTGACATTTCTGTTAAGTCTTCAAAGTTTATGGGTCCAAATAAAATATGCTAACTAGGATCCATTCAACCTCCATCTCCCTCTCTTAGAGCTCTCCCTTCTCTGCCTATAGCAGGAAAGTGAGATAGTAATAGTTTCTTTTTCTCTGCCTATACATAAATTTGAGAGAGATAGTAATAATTTCCTCAGTTCTCTTTCATTAATTGTTAATCATCGAATATTTTTAACTACTTTCTTCTACTTAATATATAAAATTTAAATTGACATCTCTTTATTGCGAATCACTTGGCCGCCGTTTCCTGCTTTTAAGAGAGAATATCTTAGAGAGATACTAGGATATTAAATGCCGAATAAGACATTTAGTTGTGGTTCCATGGCATTTCCGCCAATCGTGGTGGACGACAAAAACAATTACAGACAATGGATATGGCCAATAATTGTTTTCCTCTCATTAGCAGTTGTATTCGGAAGGAGGGCTTCAGTTGATGTGTTCGCTAACTTTTTCTGTCTTTCTTGATGAAGTAAAGCATCTGCAGCTCTCTCCGTCAGCTAGTGTAAAAAGTTAATCGGCGGCTGAGTGCAAGCCAGCATCTTCAGTAGACCGGACTGATGTGTTATTCATTACATCATGCCGCCTAATGCACAGCCTAATGCACAGTCCAAGATATCCTCTTTCTCTAAATGCGGTTCTATTTTTTCTAGACTGCTGTTGAAATTTTGAAAATTCCGGTCCAAAAGTAGAAAAAAATTTAGCGAACACAGCACCTGAAGCCCTCCTTCCGAATACAACCGCTAATGAGAGGAAAACAATTATTGGCCACAATCATTGTCTGTAATTGTTTTTGCGTCCACCACAACGGGTGGGTAAATTTTGCCTATTTGGCATTTAACATATCCTAGTATTCCTCTAAGATATCTCTCTTAAAAGCAGGAAACGGCGGCCAAGTGATTCGCGATAAGAGGCCGGTCAATTTGAAATTTTATATATTAAGGAGAATAAAGTGCTTAAAAATATTCGATGATTAACAGTTAATGAAGGGAAAAGGAAGAAATTATTACTCACTATTTTTCTCGGATTTTTCTCTGCATTCCTGCTTAGTAAGATAGAGTAGAGTGTAAAGGGAGGGTGTGAAGGGAGTGAAGATAGAAATACAAGATAAGGGGACTGCAATATTTAGGCAAAATAAGTGGTCATATTTTCGGCCATAACTTCTTTGATCCTTAACCGATTTAAACAATTATTATATCAATCGAAAGCTCTGGATGTGCTGATTATTTTAGCTAACGGGACTGATTTGATCAGATCATCCTACTAAAAGTTACAGCTGTCAAAGTACGCGCAATCGTGATTTTTGCTAGTTATCCGGCTGTAACTTCAAGTAGGATGGTCTGATCGAATCAGTCTTCTGAGCTAAAATAATCCCCACTTAAAGAGCTTTCGAATGATATGATAATTATTTAAATCGGCTAAGTATTAAGAAAGTTATGGCCCAAAATATGGCCTCAAGTTGATTCCTTAAATAAATTTTTTTACTTTTTCATGTTTATTTTGCAGTCTTTTTCGATTGGTTGACGATGAAGCAATCCTAAGACTTTGCCCTATTCTCCCCATAAAATTCACTGTTGAATCGGTGAATGAACGAGTTGCAGAATGGGAACGGCGTCTGGCATTTTTGTTGTCATTTGCCGTTTGAATATTGCCGCATTGGACAATTGGTTGGGAGAGACGCATT